CTTTAAGCTTTCAGCTTTGAGTAAACCAGTTTCATGTAGAGGATAGGGGACTACATTTCAAGCGCTTCCATACGCCAGCGCAAGTGGCTGTAGCTTGATGTATGCTATGGTGTGGTACGAGGCCAGATTTGTCACAGGCTGTGAGCATGGTATCTAGTACATGACACAACCCCGGGAAGGGGCATTGGGAGGCTGTGAAGTGGATTTACGGTATATTAAGGTACCGTGATGTTGGGTTGATCATTGCGTGAAGAATGATGAACAGGGAGGATTGTGTTGGCTACGTGGATTCTGACTATGCTGGAGATCTTGATAAGCGTCGGTCACTACAGGTTATAGTTTTTACATTGGTAGTGCACCGGTGTGTTGGCGATGCACTCTTCAGTCTCACAGTGGCGCTTTCTACTACGGAGGCGGAATATATGGCGGTGACTGAAGCAGTGAAGGAGGCTTTGTGGCTACATGGCTTGTTGGATGATTTGGGGATTGCAACAGGAGACCATTCAGGTACATTGTGATAGTATGTCAGCTATCTATTTGGCGAAGAACCAAGTCTACCATGCTCGCACGAAGCACATTGATGTCAGATTTCATTTTGTACGTGACGTATTGATGATCGTGATGTCACGTTGGGAGATGGTCCACACTAAGGACAATCCTGCTGATATGTTGACCAAAGTCGTACCAGGTGTGAGTTTGGTCATTGTTTAAGCTTATGAATATTCTTCGTTGTTGAGGTCGTTGGCGGCCATTGGATGAACTACGTTCGGCTTGATTCCTTGGGCAAGAGGATACGTAGGCAGTCTTTAGATGCAGCCGGTTTGATCAGTTGATCAAGAATGGGTGAGATCCGTGTTTCAGCTCGAGTATTGTTCCTGGACTCTGTTGAGGAACTATTTCGGTGTCGGCTCAAGTTTTGGTCGGAAACATTCGCCGAGGTGGAAGAATTGAAGAATTTCTAGCATCAGCAGCAGAATCCAGGAAAAACCAGGTGGCTCGGTCGACCGGTCCGGTCGACCGGATTCGTGCACAAGGAGGTCGGTCGACCGGCCCGGTCGACCGACGGCTCTCTGGATTCTTTCGGGGTTCTGCTGGAGGTGGTCGGTCGACCGGGGCGGTCGACCGGAATTGATCGCGGTCGACCGACCCGGTCGACCGACGAAGCGGGTTTCAGTTGGTTCAGGTTTCCAGACCCGTTTCGCTTGGGAGTTGTATAAATACCCTAAACTCGTTTTTAGGGTAAGAGTTTGGGCGATTTTGAGCTGAGCAAAGGGAGATTTGAGGGCTTCTATTGTTGGAGTCTATTTGAGAGATCTTTTGGTCTTATTTGAGGGTTTTGGGTAAGATTTGTAACCCTAACTTGTACTCCCCTTTGATTTGAATAGTAAAGCTTCCCTCTCCTTGCCCCGTGGACGTAGGCATATTGCCGAACCACGTATATCTTGTGTTTGTGCTGTGATTGGTTGGCTTGCATTGGTTTGTGGTCTACTATTGTCTTGTGTGTGCCTTCGATTTGTCAATTTAGCTTCTTTATTTTTTGAGGTAAAAATAAAGCAAAGCACCAATGTATATTAAACTTCGAAACATACAAAGCAATCGATAGGAGAACAAAATTTCTAAGCCTATAGAAGACCTTACGTCAAGAAGAGTTCTGTGAGGGTGAGGAAAGTAGATAGTCGCCACTCATCACAAGCACAATACAACCTAATTGACAATCCACTAAATAGAAAACCACGTAGAAATTAGACTTCTCCTGCAGCCCCTGGGCAACAAAAGAAGGTATTAATTACAAACAAATTACAGAGATCAAGATGATAATAATAATAATAGAAGCTAACTTAAGTACTCGGTATCATCGGACTACTATACGCCATCCTCGAGCCACTAGCTTGCCTCTCCCTCCTCATTTCCATCAATCCTCTTCTAGGGGAGTGGAAAGTGAGGATCATCCAAAAGAAAATTTAGCTTCACTAATGTTTATTTAATAGAGAGGCACGTCCAGAGATGAAGAGAATGAAGAATATAAGCAACAAGGTCATCTGTTGTGAAGTTCTTCTTGTTGAAAACTTCGGCATTTCTTTATATCCAAAAACAATAAAAAATGTACGCTGTTGGGAATGAATTCACCCTTGGACTGAATCGGTTCTCCAAATTATAGATATTCATATGATGGTGGAAAAAGCCCAACATATAGAGAAGTAAAGGGCATTTAAGTAAACTAACTTGGATCCTCTCTA